CCTCTACCTACTATTTCAACTCTATGGTTTTACCCCGCCGTTCTTCCGAAAATGTCACCCTTTTCTGGCGAGGCCAACTGCTCCGCTTTCTGGAATTGGTATAATAAAGTGGTAGCAAATTATGTAGCAAAATTCGCAGGAGAAGGACAGTTACGCCCACTTTTTAATTGAGCAACCAGTAGATATTGTTGCTTTAACGTTGCATTTTATATGATACTTATAATTTTTGATATTTAGTGGTGAAAAAATTACTTAAAAGAAAAAATACTAAACTGAAAGTAACTTGAATTTCGCTACCTCTAGAAAATACTATTTTACAAAGCGGTGGCGTAGATAGCTCACCTCACGCGTTTTAAAAACTTCTTAAAGTATTTGTANTATTTAGTGGTGAAAAAATTACTTAAAAGAAAAAATACTAAACTGAAAGTAACTTGAATTTCGCTACCTCTAGAAAATACTATTTTACAAAGCGGTGGCGTAGATAGATAGCCTCATGCGTTTTAAAAATTTCTTAAAGTAATTGTAGTACATAAATAACAGTTTTTACATACTTTAAAATAATAAATGACAATTATTAATAGTTAATTATAAATGATTATAATCAATTATATAAATAATAGTTAATTATAAATGATTATAATTAATTATATAAATAATAGTTAATTATAAATGATTATAATCAATTATATAAATAATAGTTAATTATAAATATAAGACGAATATTAAATTGAAAGGACTAAATAAATACAACTAATGTAAAACTTTATGAAGCATTTAAATACAGTAATACCTAAACACTCTGAACAAAGTCTACATCAGACTCAAAACTTGATAAGCTTTCTGTATCACGATCATAATCATCATCATAATAATCTAACTTTCGCTTTACACCCATTTTACTTTACAAACACCGTAAAAAACGCGCCAAAGTAAGCATAGAAAGAACAAGGTAAAAAATTAAATTCCCCCTTCATTATGAAGAGAAATTCATGGAACCCCTACTGCCATCTGTAGGCAGGAAAACTAACTACGTTTTGAGAGAAGGATTCGTTTTAACGTAGTTAATGCAGAATAATAATGGCGAACGAGCTGAGCTCGTCAGCGCGCATTGGGGAGAAGTTTCACTACGCGAGTCAGGGGTGAAAGCGAGACAGAAAAGAGGAAAGGCTGGTAGTAAAACCATTTCAGTTATAGCTAGTTTGGTATACAGTTAGGAGTTTACTTATTCTCTTTTAAATTTTTCAACAATATCTACTTTATCTTGGACTTACTTACTTTATTTAAAAACAACTGGGCACCTGGGCCGCGCAGCGGCCCCTATTCCATTCATCATGAAATTACAACAATGAGGTAAAAACATTTTGAATATAAGCAGTCGTTGTGGTAGCTTTACAATAATATTACCATGATTAGAGAAAATACAAACTTGAACAGAGATATTTACAGTAATTGCCATGAAAAAATGTACAGAAAATATAACCTTGATTAGAAAACATTACAACTTGAACAGAGATATTTACATTAATTGCCATAAATATGTACAGAAAATTGAATATGAGCATGAATAAATGATGATTATATATATACAAAAGTCGTGATTCATGGACGTGAAGATTTTACATAATTTTTGACAAGCCTTAGTGGCGCCATCTAGTATGATCAACTTTAATTTGAAAGGGCAGTATGCAGTATTTATTTTAATAATCTGTATGGAAAATTAGAGTTCTGAATAATAATAAGAGTTCAAATAGAAGTTCAAATCAAGTCAAAAAAGATGTTACTGTGCAAGAGTGGCTTCCCCCATAATCCTCTGAAGCAGTTGAAGCACTTCTTGATTTTTTAAAAGTTCTTGCAATTCTTTAATTATTGTAACCAACCTTTGAGCAAGTCCTGTTGTTGGTGGTGGTATGGCACGTGTTCCCCTCCTGCGGGGACGGGCTCTGCACCCCGTGTAGTTGGCTGTATGAGAGTCTCCGCAGTTACTGCACTTAGGTGGTGTATTTTCATCTTTTTGGCACTCGTATGATCGGTGTTTGGCGGCGCACTTAACACATCTTGATGGTGAATTACATGATCTTTGACTGTGTCCAAATTCTTGGCAGTTGTAACACTGGATTGGATTTTGCCCGCCTCGGAACCTTTCAATACTGACCGGGATACTTTGTATATTGGTGATAGAGAAAATTTGTCGATTAACATCTGTTTCTGTGAGAATTGTAAGAAAAAGTGGGAGGAGCCTGTAGGTCCCGCACACTTTTCTCTTAAACTGAATTATCTTTTGCGTTATGATGTCTGACTTCGCCAGTTGCTGGGAGATATGATCAGTACAGAATCCAACTGGAAGACCACGAATAAGAACTTTTATATGCTTAATTGGTTGAACTTTTGCTGGAGTTGTGGGTGGATCTACAGTTGAACTGGAATCCTCCTTGGGTGGGGCTACGTCAGTATCAGATATAGATTCAGATGGTTGTAAGGAGGTGGCGGTATCTATCGGTGAAAAAAGTTTACTATTCGTGGTCATGATTAGATTTGCTTCAGCTTTTTTGACATTATTTTTCTTTTTCTTCTTCTTTAAAGGGGGTTCTGCAATATTTTTGGTTGAGCTTTCTGAATCTGTGGTTGACTCATTCCCCGTCTGTTTCAAAAGTTGGCCTCCTTCATAAGTTTTCATATCAATGACATCAATTGGTGTTGTCGGTATTTCGGGCCTATTTGGCACAGGCATGAGAAACTGCTCCAATTGATTTAGTTTCTCAAGTAGTTCTTTATTTTTCCTTTCATCTTCTTTAATTCTTCTTTCCATGTCTGCTAACTCTTTAGCCATTTTGGTTTCAAAATCCGAGCATTCCTCATCCGACGTTGAGCCACGTGTAGGTCTTTCGGTCAGCCGCTTTCCGCCACGTCCGTGGTGGTGATACGTAGCCATTGTTGCGTGATCAAAAGACACCAATGAAAATCCGAAAGTTCTACGACCTCCTAAAAGCATAAATTGTTCTTCCACATCACTCAGAGCATCAAAAACACCATGACCGAGTTGAAAACTGATCACGCGTAGGATCAAATACCACTTTATCTTGGAAAAGAAGCAGTTTTATATATATGCCAGAATTATAAAAGAAATCTTGATAGTTACAGATATTTTATTTTTTTCGAAAAAATGCTGGAATGAAATGTTCTACGTACCAGGTTTTTCTCTTTTCCGTCTTGCTGTATAAGGGGGTACACGGAAAAAAAAGGTCCCGGAAAAAAAGTACGGAAAAAAAGGTCCCGGTAAAAAAGGTCCCTGGAAAAAAAGGTCCCGGATAAAAAGGTCCCGGTAAAAAAGGTACCTTCATAGGGAAAATCTGTAGGGATATTTCCCCTCTCGCTTTCTGGGCAGCATGAATGCTTTTCGCTGTTTCAATGAATATTCTTTTAATCTGTAATAATTCAGATTAAATCATTGAGGTAAGGAGAAGGGTAAGGGG